TCTGAACACTATTTCAACATTTTCTCATTTTCATTTTAAATATATAGTTATGGAATTACACACATCAAAAAAAGTTTGCGATCACTTCGAAAAACTGAAATATTTTTTGTTACTGTAGATTATATTATGATTTTTTCTTCTTTTTAGATTCTTTATTTAAAAATAAATTAGAACATAAAACAATGACCCCGTTCAATTGTTTTTTCATATAAAAAGGCTTTCAGTCCTAGCTTACGCTCATTCAGAAATCTGATTTAGTCAATTATAAGCGATTCAAGATATTTTTCGCGGAAAGTTGTGATTGAAAAAATGCCAAGAGGATTATCAGAGGTTTTACGAGCTAGAATAGTAACTTTGAGGGAAGAAGGATACACCGCGAGAGTAATAGCACGCAGACTTGCTATATCCCAATCCTGTGTCGTGGCTACGTTGGAGAGGTATCACGGAATGGGGAATTTAGCTGACCGACCCCGCAGCGGTCGCCCAACTGTTTTGACAGCTGCCCAAAAGCGCTATATTAGATTGCTGGCAGCCCGTGATCCAACAATCAACGCCACTAAAATAAAAGCAGAAGTCAGGGCCGCCTCTGGGCTTGAAGTTAGCACGCAGACCGTTCGCAATTGCTTGCACCAGTCTGGATTACGAGCACGGAGGTCTTGGCGAGCTCCGCTCAATTCCCGGCAACGTCAACAACGAAGATTGCAGTGGGCTAGACTTCGGCAAAATGAAGAAGGTGAGGACGAAAACATTTGGCAAAACTGTCTCTTCGTTGACGAATCCCGAATCAGCACTCATCCAGATAACCGACGTGTCCGTGTCTGGAGAAGACCAGGCGACGCCATACGAGTTCTATACGATTTTTATAAAACAGTAAGGATGCTATTACAACTGCCACGCTTCTATAGTGCATCGGGAAAGTTCGCTAACGCTCGTGTTGATGGGTTTGAAGCTATTATGTGAAAAAGAGAAATGTGTTTCGAATTGGTGGCAGCGATAACACCCTCCTGAGTGTCATAACATTCAAGGTCGCATATTCTTTACATAAGCATTAGACCCAAATGCATATTAAAGTATACAAAAAAGAATAATTATTTGTAAGACTAACCTCTTTTTAAGTGTTTCGTTACTAACTCTTATGGATGAATGCCCTAAACAAATTAGTTTGTGTTTTGTTTATTTAATTTTGGATACAATAATGAATTAGTCACATTATTAAGTATGATGACATTAACTTTTTCTCTTATTTGATCGTAATAACTATATCTACTACACTTTATCTCTATAATGCTTCTAACCTATATCTATGTAATATATGTTAAGAAATGAAAAAACATCTTACAATCACAGCCTAATAATAAGTTGACCATAATTTGTTCACATAACGCCATCTTTCTAGTAAAATCGGTTTCATAGTTACTCCATTTATATTTTAACCACTCGACTACGTGTTCGATCTCTAACGAACGCTATAGTTCTTGTGGATCCCAATAGATGGCGTTATAAGCATCAACATAGCAATAAGTCTATGTCAAGACGCGATTAAAAGGAGCTTTTTAGTATTCCGCACTCGTTACAAAAATTATATTCATACATATCTCATGGTTTAACTTTATAAGTTTAATATTCGATAGGTGTACTTTGTGAAACTAAGAAGAATAAGGCTTGTCTCTACATTCTGCTATGATAAGTAGTGCTTACTAAAAGATTAACCTGGGGCTTTTCGTGTTCAAATGCTTTAATATATATATATTAACCCACAATATTTTGCCACCAAGCAGCAATGTGAACATTAATGGCTTCCGGTTTCGAAGGGTAAGGGTGCTGGTGAAATTACAGGCACATGGGACTTGTCAACTTATGTCTTAGGGTGTCGGGGGCAGTGGCAGTGCCCCTCAGCTATTTTGTGACATAACGCTCTGAGTGACACCGCAACTGTTAGGGACAGGCGTGACGCTTACCACCAGACACACGACTTGTTCGTCCCGTCACTTAGTATTACAAAAAAAACAATAATTACATATATATTTTTCTATAATTTAATTTATGTCTTAAACCATATTACCATGACGAAACACATATTTACATACAGTAAATTTTACTATGAAATGCAATTGTACAGTTGTGGCCGCTTTAAAATAAAGCAAAGTATTTTGACTATAATTTTACACTGCAATGTACAATGTGAAATAGAAGCTTTTAGCTTGTGAATGCGTTTATCTGCGCGACGAACACGACAAACGGTTCAAAATTTCAGGCCCAAGTGTTTACTGTCGCATAACTTTGTAAATTACAATAAATTCCGTTTTATTTATGTTATAACTATACATTGGCTCATTAACTGCGCACCTAAGTGTCAATATCGCTCTTTTGTATATAGCTTAGTTAAATAATAAACAGGCATCTGTTCATATCGAATTGGATAGCCGCCTCGATTTTTCGCGGTATAGGTTTTCGCCCTTAGGGGCAAAGGACAAACCAAGATAGTTAGAAAAAGAAAATAAACAATATACATTATTTTAGTGAAAATGACAAGTAAATGATATTAGTTTAAAAGTAAGTAAAAGTACCAAAAAGACAAATTATTCACAGTTCAAACAGCGAACATTTTTGAATACAATGTTTTGATAGCTACAGAAATACGAAGTGAAGTAGGTAGTAACTTTGAATACGTGTATATTTATTATTAAAGATATAATATGTACATATAATATATTACAGATTACAAGTAAAACATTGTATTACGAATTTTACTAATTTTTAATGTAATGTAAAAGAATAAACTAGTCATATCCATTAGGAATTATTCATGGTAAAGTAATAATTTTTAAATTAGGAGGCCATTTAAAAAGTGGGCATCTAACCCGGTTTTACCCTAAGTGTTTTTAGTCACATTGCACGTAGAGATGGTGATAACCTGGAGCGTTCGATGGTAACAGGGAAGGTGGAAGGAAAGAGAGCTCGAGGCATCCCCTTCCTTTCTACTTAAGTTTTGTTTATATTGACTCTGCATACGGATTCTTAGGGTATACAAGAAGGGCACTATAACCCGTGCGTGCACAGGAACCTTCTAAGTTTAGGTTCTGACCCCAGATTAGCCAGTGTACAGGGTTGTCACAGACCGTTGTCACTGCCTTAATCCGGTTAGGTAAGGTAAGGCGTATCGTCGTCTTAGGTTCTAGTCTAGACCACTGCTAAGACGCGCTAGCTGCTTTCGAGACAGACGCCCCGGCGACACACCACTGGAGCAGACGAATACATCCGTCTCTGCAACTCATCACAAACCCTGGTGAGTCTATACCCAAGTCTGGCTCCACCACAGATGTGAAGGCGTATCATTGGCTCGGCCCGTACACCCTCTATCTCTCGAGTCTGTAGGTAGAGGCCTAGAGGCAGAAACCCCAAGATGGTCAGTAGCAGTAGAGCTCCTTGTGAAAGAGTTCGTCCAGGATAATACTGCCACCTTACTTTTTTCTGCCGCCAAGCAGTAATATGAGCATTACTGTGTTCTGGTTATGAAGGGTAAGGGGGCTGGCAAAATTGCAGGTACACAGGACTTGTCAACTTATGTCTCAGGGTGACGGGCGCATTAGCAGTGCCCCTTAGATCTTTGTAATTTAAGACACTGGGTGGTACTGCACTTGTTATGGACAGGTGTGTCACTTGCTGTCATAAAAAAATGATCAGAGCAGATGTCTAAACAACTTGAGCTACCTCTCAGCGCCGCATTTCATCAGGTGACTGAGCGTAATACCGATGGAGACACAGTAATTACAGTAGTGAGGAACCGATTAATAAATAGAAGATAGCGGAAGAAGATATGACTTTAGTAACCACTTCAGACTTCTTTTGTGTCTTGTTGCGCTTTGTAAAAATATAAAGTGTACATTTCAGTAGGTGGAGAAAAAGTTGTATTCCCATTAAGAACACAAAATTTCCATCGAAGTAATTTCCGGAGAACACTAACACAGAATAAATTCTCTATTTTTAAATATATGCGTCATAAGAAGTTGTAAAGTTGTAATATTCTGACTAGAACACGTTTTATTTTTTTCACTTTATACATTTACCTACCTTGTATCCGTTGAGATTGAATAATTTCGACAATAGTAGACTGAAAATAGATTATGACAATACTTACCATATCGTTGATGTCTTTTGGTTTACAGTGTAACATGGCAATGCGTTGATGTAAAATATACGAAACCGAAAATTAAATATTTTAAGACTTTAAAAGCTCAACAGCAGATCAATCAATCTTTCTTTGTACATAGGTAATCAATAGTCATAAATAACTTGGGGTATAATTGTACATTTCTCAGGTTCAAGGAAACGAGCTCTTTGAGGCAGAATACAAAAGCCCATAGAGACATGTGAATGCCTCCTTTCATCCCGTCGCGAGCGGGGACGCAAGTGCATTGAGCACCCTTCCCTCCCGCTCGAGAGGAGCACCCTTCCCCGCCCCCGCGTCTACAGCGTCTCGCTCGAAGGTTTACCTGCGCCTGCGACATCGCCGCTTCACGATGAAGCCTGGACCGCTATGGGTGGTCAAAGATTATGCGGTAAATGTGACGCGAAAGAGCTTGTAAGGCATGTAAGTATATTTCAAAAGTGTAGTTATTCTTATTATACCTACATTGTAAGTAGGTATACTAAGTAGGTACATTGTGATTAAATTTATTTCAGATAGTCGAGCATTTACATATTCTTTCTGCAATGTCTTATTTAACTTTATTTACTCAATTATACTGACACACATCGGGTAATTTAAAAAACAAATTTAAATAACTGATAACTAGCAGTACAAAGACAAATTTTATTAGTCACACTGTTCTTTCCGTACCATTTACTGGGCAGTTGAGCGATACGAAGACAAGAAGCTATTAGGCAGCATCATCCATATGCGGGTGGCGGAGGCTGGTGGATTATTCTTTGGCGGCGACGCGAAGCGGGCGCTCTGCGTGCACGCCGCCGTAAGCGTCATCAACAGCCACCCGCTATCGCCAGTCTACTGTCTATTACAAGTTGCGCTCGCGACTTGACTGGACGCTGCTATCGCGCTGCACAGCTCTACGGTGATGTTTTGTGACGGCTAGTATGTTTTATTTCGTGTTCGTGTGACTGATGTACCAATAACAACCATGTGGAAGTGCCTTCTGCTCACCGTTGCGCTCGCGCTCCTAAGCCACGCGGAATTGCAAGAGAGAGGTAAGTTCACGTTCAGTTTTTTCAAACAACTAACTTAAACTTACCTCATTATTTTGCTTTCTCGTTTTAACCGTGGTTTGAAGTTACACAATGTTCCCATTAACCTCGAATTAGCGTTTAATTAGCTGATTCCAGAATGATAATTGAACGTCATTTCGGATCACACAAAATTTCAAGGCTGCATATATGTTAATTCATGAATAAACAAAATAGTCCTTAGTATTTTTTAAAATTTTTCTCATTTAACTTTAATCCACGGGTGCTCAATATCGGATTTGTACTCGTATAGATACACGTTCCTACCAACACAAAGAATTTGCTTAGACGTTAAATTTGATTTTAATGTACGTGGAAATCAATAGCATTGACATTCTACAGTTGACTTCACTCTACGTTGCTTATTGACAAACCCGAATACATAAACCATGTCGTGTCAACTAAATGGAATAGAAGGAATTTAACTTATTCGGAAGACTTTTTGCTATACAAATGTCGATTATGATCGATGAACTCTGAGAACGAAGTTACGCTGGAACTGTGGTTTGTGCGCATGTACTGCATTGTTGTGGTCATAGTCTTGCGCTATCATAAAAACACACACATTTTTATATACCGTAATGCAAATTCCAAGCATTATGTTATCTTATAAGTCTGCAAGATAACGTATGTACTTACTCTGTCTATACCTAAAAACTCTTCAAATACAATAAAGCATAGTCTCTGCGGGAAGTACTTCTTAAAAGTAGACGAGTGTACATTAACCACAGTTGTAGTTATGTTCAATGAAAGTTGATACATCTTCACTTTTCGTTATCAAAAAGCTAATTTTAAGAAATGATTTCATGATTCTACCAAAAAATCAGAACGCAATGATATATGTGGTCAGTTCGTTTAAGGCCAACATGTTTCTACTTCTTCTTGGAACATAGCCTACTGTTTGCGTTACCTGCGACATATCATTATGTCGTTCGGTGTGGGCTCTGCGCGCACGCAGGTTGTATACTTACCGTATGTAATTTGTTCCTAAAGTATGTTGACGTCAAACATATGTGTGGTGGTAAACAAAGAAACTCAAGTTTTTGTTTTTGTTTGATCCTCTTTAGAACAAAGTTGATTTTATTTATTGTTCCTTTTCTTATACCTGTTTTAAAAACCTAGCACAAAATCTATACCAAACTTGTTTACTCTAATCCACTTCGTTAAACATCCAATGTCTTTCTTTCAAGTACTGACTGCAAAACTTATGAACAAAAGAAACCTTTAGAGGACAATTTTTGTCAACAGCTATTGCTATGTTTACTCGTACGTTCACATGTTGATATAAGTATCATAAAGAATTTAAATTAAAAATAATTAGAATGTATATCGGCTCATATACGCTCTACTGCTGGTAAGCCGTGCTCTAATAAGAGAAAATAATGTGTAGAGTCATTTAAGACGATTCAGGGCGGTTATGTCGGGTATTTCGTAGTTTATGTTCATTCAAATATTGTATACATTTTTAACGTGAGAAATTGTTTATTTTTTCTATCATCACGGTTTTCAGTAAATGTTTAATTAGGATAAAGTTGGACTATCGAATATTACGAGTGCTTGAGCCTGTGTAAGTTTGAAACTATATAGTCAGAGGGAAAATGACAAATGACTACTATATACGAGTATATTTGAGATTACGTTTTTTGTTTGTTTTATTTTGTTACAAATAAAAATCATACCAAAAATGTTTTAATATATGTACATAAACTGTGACGTTTTTCGATACATTGAGAAATTCGTTGGAGGTCGGGCTGCGCTTGTATCTATTCGGGTAGGTACGTATGTACGTTTGTGTACGTAACTGGCTCGGACGTCTACTGGATATCGTTGAGTGTGATCAGTTAATATCCAAAATAATGTCGAAATTATAGAATATTGGTGGTATATAGCGCGCTCGAAAGACTGTGTAGAATATAAACCATAACAAAAAGGTAAAAATTAAGTGATATCTAGTAGACGCACACTTACGAGCCAATGCAATTATGCAAATTTGAAATGTTTATTAGTCCTTTGATTCTTCAGAAAAGTTTCAAACCTGCGTTTAATTATATCTAAAGTTGAATAATGTGTTTAGACTTTTAGTACCGACGAGCAAATTTCAAACTCTTAAACGAGATATTGTTTAACGTATGAACAGTAGATAGATAATACTCGTGTTGACTACTCGAAGCGCCCAGCGTTAATTGACAGGGCTCTATTAAACAATTAAGACAGTGCTTCAGACAGCTGTCACATCGCAATACAATTCAGCCTTTGATACTCGTATTGATAGTTATTGTGGTTTTAAAATGTTGCATTTCATCGATGTCAAGCATCAGAATGAGAACTTTCACGACACACATCACCAAGTTGAGAGCAACACATCTACTGTCTTTATATTGTATATAATTATAACTTTTTATAAAAACAAATCAAGAAGATTAGTTAAGACGAGTCATTCATATGATTGGGCTCATGCCCAAACACAAGTTAGCTGCTGTACACTGTTGAGGAGCTCCTCTCATCTGCCTGCCGTTTCAATCATCAGATGAGGGCTAGGGCTAGCATGACAGGGTGCGACTTACGCGAGAGCGCTGGATCACTATGCAAGAATAGCAGTACCTCACGCTTTACGTCGCTCTCGCGCAAGTCGCGCCCTGTTGTGTTAGCCCTATTGATCACCAAAACATTTATTTTCGTTGGAATCAAGTCTCTGTGCCAAGTTTTATTGAAATCGTTTGATTAAATAAACCTAACTCATCCTCTAATATGCCACACTTAGAGGTAGAATATTTTCTTCAAGTTCGAATGAATTTCGAGCTTTCTAATAAAAATATAATCATAAATTCGGTTCACAGATGTCGGAGTAATCGCGTTCGCGTCGCGTAATTTTTCACACAAAAAAAAGAAACATATACAGTTGAAGTGAAATCCTCCTCTTTTTTTTTAAGTTTAAAAATTGTACTATATTAAAATAGTCATCTCTGTTTTTGATACAGAAATCACATACGCACTTTTTGTACTGGGTTAGACTATTACCTATAATTGTAATGGTCAATAAAAGAGCATATTTTAGCAGTAAAAACGTTCCATGTTTGTAAAAGGTTAGTTTTTGTAAGTAAAGGTTAGGTTACCATTTTTATTACATTAAAATTATTTGATTTGCTCATTTAAATATGTCTAGTTAGTTTTTAACCAATTATCAAGTGACGGGACGAACAAGTCGTGCGCCTGGTAGTACATAAGTGACACGCACGCTTATCCACAGCAGTTGAATTGCCACTCTGAGCTTGAAATCGCAAAGTTCTGAGGGGCACGCCACTGCGCCCGTCACCCTGTGACGTAAGTTGAAAAGTCCCATGTGCCTGTAATTTCACCTGCATCCTTACCCTTCAAAACGGAAACGCTTAGCGTTTCGGTTTTGAAGCGTAAGGATGCGTTAGCGGCAGAAATAGATAACGTGACAGTACTTCCATCAGACGAACTCTTTCACAAGGAGCTCTACTGCTACTATACGTTTCTAATAAGTTTTGGTTAAAAATTTACGGAAAAAGCACCGGTATGTATTTATAAATTATGGTTACTCATTGTGGTTACTGCTAGTATTTTAAAAACTATGTGCACGACCATTTAATAGATCACGGCTATAAATGATCGCCAATGACGACATAGTAACCATGCCTGAGATGTAATTTGTTTTTGCTTAAGTATAAAATTATGTTTCTAAAGATCCACTAAGTACATACCAATTCATTCATTCGTGTTAATTATGTTACTACATAGTATCATGGAACGAGTCTGTTTAAATTTTATTTGAATTTCACGTAATATTAAAGTCACACGATTGTCCTATTTTAATTGAATGAAAGTTGTGTGACTTTGAAGTTTTACATGAAATCATTGCCTAATATGGAACATTCTCTTTTCCCTCATCGCAAACGTTAAAAACATAAAATTTTACCCGTCAACATCAAAATGTACATAATATCTGAAGTGATTCAGACTTAGACATTATATTCCTTTGATTACGTAACACCCGGTATTATATTCTAAATGACTATATCTAGAAAAATACATTTTCATACAAAACAAAGGAATTTCATATTCGCTTCGTCCTGAAGCATGTACTTACTTAACACATTTATATTAATTAATATTTACTTAATACATTTTCCCTTTGTAGTTTATTCCTCGTAGGATTTTGAAATATCAATTTTGCGCTTGAATTTGTTTTGTATATGAGTTTTGAACGTACTTTTGCCTCTAATAGATGTGCCATTTTTTATACAAGCAGCATGTAATCGTATCTGTTTTTTTTATATCTCTATGTGCCAAATGTAAAATTTAAGTACCTAGTTAATAAAATACTCCAGAAGGAATTCGCATTTTTATTCAAATGTTATATGAAGAACTCGTGTGATGAACATTTAAATATCTTAACAATCTTTTTGTTAATCAAAAGAAATCAATATTTGTACTTCTTAAATAGTAGTATGTGCAATTCAAATTTATGCATTTATGTTGAAATCGATGTATGCTCGGCACAAAATCTTTACGACAACGGCATTTTATGTTGTTCTTCCTAAAATATTGGAACAAACTACTTAACTGTTCATAAATTTATGTAAGCTATTATCTAAAGACTTCAATCTAATAAATACATAGATATTGTTGGTCGGCAGTGTTTTTTTTAATATACTCCTACAAACTTTTATATACCAGTAGGGATTTATTTCTTTAATTTATTTGTGCCAACAAACAGTCGCAAATAAATACTACTTATTTATATATATTTCAAGCAATTTGTTCATAATTGGTACTAGTCATGGTTACTTACTAAAAACATTACAAAAAAGTCAATGTTTGTTAGAATAGTATGGAAAGAAGTGTGTGAAGTTAAAATATAAAGTAAACTAATTACAATTAAAACCAAATCTAAAACTATTAAAGTCACAGACATAATAAACACACATGATGAGAGAAAA